AGGTTAAATTGTATGATGATTCAGAATCTGAAATAATATTTAAGGTTTTGTTTATACTATTCAAGTTATTCATTTATTTTTATGTATTTTTTATCTTATTTACATAAGTAATATTGTTTCTATTACTTATGTAATATTTTTAATTTATACTTATATTTTTTATGTAATTTATTATTTTTATTTGCTATGACAGGTTGTCTCTGCCATAGTAGCAAGCTGACATTCATTCCATCATTATTCCACTTGCTGCCATCCAGCTCATCCATTATTATGGAAGCAAAGTCTCAAAACCAAGCAACCATACCCAAATCAACAAGTATATTATCAATCTGTGACTTTATTCAATCTCGTCAGCTAACCCCCAAAAAGGTCCTGTGTGTGTTCCTAAATGTGTTCTTTCCCCGGAGTAGACTCTGTTGGATTATATGCTTATACTTTAGTACGCTTCAAACAAACCACAAGACGAATCCTGTATTTAGTTCCTCTCAGGATTAGTCTGGCAGTTTATTCCTAAGTGAATCAGAACAACATCTTTTCTTTCTCACTCCCCAAGTATCACACAACGTGTTGTCTGTGAACTTCAGTCATTGTCTCCCCTGTCTGTCTCAACAGGTTATGAGACCTATCGTTGTCCCAGCTCCATTCATAAATTGATTTTCCGTTTCAGTTTGGTCAAATTGTCATTGCTGCAGTCTTCTTCAAGTGTGCTCCGATATGCCTTTTTGATCGACTAATAATCCCTCCCCACTTATTCCTACCGTTGAGGTACTTGATGGTAACTCAGTCACATTTCCGGCATGGCGCTCTTGACTGGAGGACATACTAGCCATCCAGGGGGTGCACGACCTCGTCACCAACAAACTTCCTTGCCCAGATGAATCGGATTACAAAGATGGGAAAAGCTCTACTCGCACGTCGGAGCAAGGCTACAACCCGGAGGACTCGGCAGCCAACTGGGATGCGCTATCCGACATTGCTTGCTTGACTATCAAGCTGACTTTATCGGTTGACCTCTCCATCCAATACAAGGACATCAAACAGGCTAAAACATTTTTAAAAACAATCTGTGATGCCTACGAGAAGAATACCCATGCCCGTAGGCTCCTACTTGAAGATAACTTTTGGACGGCCTGCCACTACCCCTCTGCTCCAATTTCAAAATGGATCGCTTGTGTTCACATGGCGGCTTCAAATCTAAAAAGTGTCAAATTGACACCCGCGGACCAGCAGATCTGCAACAGACTGCTTTGAGGACTGGACAACTCGTGGAAACCAATCCGCAATCATCTGGTCTACTCGCCAAACGAGGTGTCTCTCGACAACGCTATAGGAGCGCTGGAGGCTCATGAGGTATCCACCACGGCTTTGCTTGACCACTTGCCGTCTGAACCTCTCCTGTTGGCGTCCGCTACAAAGGCTAAACAACGACTCGGGTGTTACAACTGCGGCCAGAAGGGCCACCACTCATCCAAGTGCCCTAATCCCTCACTCAAAAACAAGTCCAAGGCACAAGCGAACTCAGTTGAGGCTAGTGCTGGTGCCACATTGGCGGCTCCACTTGGTAATTACGGCTATAGTGAAGACAAAGAGGACAGCTTCGACGATGAAATTGATGTCGTCTGGGGATAATGGCCGAAGTAGAAGAAGTTTCAATTCGTAGGGTGCACAACTCCAGTGCGAACTGATGGTTAATTCTGCATGAGGGTTTGCTTCAAGAGTAAAATTATTATCATGATAGTTCACTGCTCCTTATTCTCATCAGATCTCTAGCCTGATTTTTTTTCTGTTTCTGTTCCCTTAAAAGAGATTTTTTCACTACTAAGCTCCACATAGTGATTTTTTTGTCTCTGTTTTAATTTTGTGCTTTGATTCTCAGCAAGGGGGTGTGTTGGATTATATGCTTATACTGTAGTATGCTTCAAACAAACCACAAGACAAATCCTGTATTTAGTTCCTCTCAGGATTAGACTGGCAGTTTCTTCCTGAGTGAATCAGAACAACATCTTTTCTTTCTCACTCCTCAAGTGTCACACGACGTTGTGGTGGTCCAGGCTGTTGTGCGCAACAAAACTGCCAAAACCCCTACCTTATAACCTAAACCACTTACATATATGAATATATTATTGCATAATCAGAATCTACATACAATTTTACCCATAGTCACCCACTACAACTATACCTCTATCTCTATTAGTTTAGAAGATAATCCAATATGAAGGTTAAAGCCATACCATAACTAGTCATTAATTAGTATTCAATAGTAGTTTACCACATATATATAAGTACATACACATAGATTATTACATCAGCAGGCCTCCACCAGTAGTGCAGAGCAGTTATGCAACTCTTGCATGCATACATGTAACCATTAGGCCTCCACTTAGTAACTTAATTGAATTTACACAGACTTTGCATAAATGCCTGTGGACAGAAAAACCTCCACCAGGTAGTGCAACAAGTTATGCAATCCTTACATACAGTAGTACCATATTTAGTTATTTCCACAGCATAATTAGCTCAATGCATGTACTCTTTGCAGGAGGCAGTGCAACCCACAAGGTCACCACCAGCAAAATCACCTCAACTGCATCACCACCAGCAAAAATAACTCAGAAAAGAATATATAAGGAGGCCTCTCCTTCACCAATTCCCCCCATCATCACCCAGCCAGTTCATACCCAACTAGCTCAGTGGTCATCATCATCATCATCATCACTCAGCAGCCCAGCTCCCACCCAGCTAGCTCAGTGGTCATCAACACAAACACCTTCAACATTAAAGTCTAGTCAACACCAGTAACAACAACAACAAACAACAACAACAACAACAACAACAACAACAACAACAACAACACCAACACCAACACCAACAATACCAACCAACAGTTTCACTACTTATCCAGACTCACCGTAAAAACCATAAAACCCTATAAAATATTTCACTTGGATTGTTTTCACACTCACATTCACCGTCTAAAGGTTGTACAACCATCTTGTATTGAATTACATACTGATCTAGGTCTGATAGAGACTACTACATATCAAGTTTTCTCCATCATAAAGTTACGCCACAACAATAAATTAAATTGCTGTCAGAATTCTTGTGTAGTAAATAGAGGGGCAGCTCTTTCAAACCACCCGTAACAGTAAATATTATCAGTGAAATATCATTATTGTTATTTCCCCCTCAAGGACTGCCAACCTATCCCAAAGGAGTTCTCACGACGTGTTGTCTGTGAACTTCAGTCATTGTCTCCCCTGTCTGTCTCAACAGACTCAAGACCAATTCAACCTGGAGCTTTTTGCACTCCTGTCCATACTTTGTGAGACCAGATCGCAATATTGTTTTCTTCAGTTTGGTGTCGCTATCCATTTCAAGTGCCTGGGGCACTGCAACCCCCACCATACTTGTTGCTGTCTTCTAGTCTAGTCTGATCAAAGGTGTCTTGATTCTTGATTTGAGGGGGAATGGTGTTTTTGCCGCCACAACCAAGCCTCCAGACAAACCGTTTGAAGCAATGTCAAACTGTGATGCATGGTCAATCCCTGCAGATGTTAGTAGATCCTTGGAGGATACTTGTCTCACTATGAAGCTCAAGATGTGGATTTCCCTGGACTTGCAGAACCTAATAAATTTTTACAAAGTACAATGCAGCTTGATTTCCTCTTTGTTTTCTTCATTTTTGGGACTACAGATCTCTGAATCATACTTCAAGTTCAAGTGAAGCGGCCAAAATTTTAAGAAATCTTCTTGCTTCAATTGCGTCTACTCAGATTCTTGAAAAGTTTGCTAAATTATTGATAATATTATGTTTTGTGTTTTTCAGCTTGAAAATCCTTCCCGTTCCAGCAAAACATTCGACTTGACTCATAAGCCTCTCCTCCAGAGAGCGTCCAGCGGGGACGCCAGGGGAGGGGCTTTGTTAAGCTAGGCCCCGACCAAAGGAGAGGCTTATTTAAGCTAGACTTGGCCCCCCTTTGACCATCCCTTTTTTCATACATCACCCCCGCACTCGGCCATCCATTCGCCATCTGGGTGTTTCTTCACATGCGTCACCATTGTTGTTCCACAATATGCATTTACTTATATATCTATAGTTATTATTTCTCACGTCATCAGTTTTTCACATACTTTGTTATTAGATAGTCTAGTATGCATTTATTTCTCATCAACCAAAGTATGTATTTACAAAACTATAAATAGTTGTACTACAGTTGCGGACGGCAAAAACCAACCCTGCCCTGCCCGCAAAATCCAAAATTGAAATGCGGGGGCTATGTCCGGGGGGGGGCATATGCCCCAATACTTATTTTTGTTGCAATTTTGAGCTCCTACAGATGTGTAGAGTTCAAAATTATAACCGCTAAGCTTTTACCCCAGCGGTTCTTTTTTTTTTTTTTTTTATTTGTCTGACATGCATGTATTTGGACATGCCTCCCAAAAGCCAAGCTCAAACCCATAACTATGGATTTAGGTGAGGCTTATTCATAGTCTCATACCTCTAGGAGGTCCCTAAAGTACCTGTAGCATCTAGTTTGAGCGCTTAATCAATGGTTCAAGGCAAGTTTTTTTTTCATTTTGTCAGCTCAAACGGGCTTCAAAACCCTGTAAATACAAAAAAAAATCTGATTTTTTGCCCAAGATATTCGGACACTTCCCATATCCAGGGTCGAAGGATGCCCCGAACTCATCATCAACCACCAAAAATTGACCACCTTTTCCACTCATCCAAACATCAAATCCTAAAAAAACAAAAAAACAAACCTAAAATAGTATCTTCAAAACCCTTTTCTATCTCTTCGATCTCGTAATCACCGTTTCTACATCCCCTTCCCCTGTTTATCCCTTCCCCCTCCGACCTCTTTAAGATTGAGTTTTCCGATCCCCCCAAAAAAACAAGGTTTTCACCTTATGCTTCGGGTCGCATGGGACAGCCTATGCCTCCCAAAAGCCATAACGGTTCTCGGACCAACCAGGAAGGTTGGTCAAAGAACATAGAGATGGAGGACATTGACTCCTCCGGGTCAACTGTTGACCGTTCTCAAACCCCTGTCCAATCGGACTTCACTAAAAATCCTCCTCTCAATAGTTCTCGTCATAATCCTGAGAACGGTTTCTTCAAAGCGTTTGCAGAAATCCTCGCTAATCGGAACTCCGATGGGAGTATCTTCATACAACCTGATAAGGTTAACTCGTTACTTCCTCTTTTTGAGATCGAAAAGATAGCTAGTGTTCAAACTCTATCTCTGGTAGAGAAGATCACTATCCGTTTAGACTCCTTTGAGAGATCACTCAACTCGGTAGTCAACTCATCCTTGAAATCCTCACCTGCATGGGTGTTAGGTAAAAAAAAGGGTGCCCCTTCTAAATCGATTCCTCATTCTACTGTCTCTCGCCCTCCCCCTTCCACCTGAATTCTTAATGAGTTCAAGTCGGCCTTTTTTGTTATTCGTAAGACTACCCCGGACTCACGTCCCTTTTTCCAGATGTCAGTATCAGACATTACTGATAAATTGAATGAAGTCCTCAAGGATAATGAGGCTAAGACAGATGATGGTGTACCCATCTCTGTTAAAGGAGCAGCCCGCCTTCCTTCTGGGGATTTTAAGTTCTTTACTCAAACTCGATTCGCTGCCAATTGGCTGCTTGAACACAAGCATGAGTGGACACACTTGTGTGATCCTTCTCTAGTTACTCCTCCTTCTACATTTCCGGTTATTCTTCACTCGGTCCCTATCTCCTTCACTCCTACCAATCCATCCTCTCTCTCTGATCTGTGTAAAGAGAATCATATTCATCCAGAACATATCCACAGTGCGCGTTGGTTGGGTAACCCCCAGGCCAACAAAAAGTCCCATGGCTCCATCATTGTCAATTTCCGTGAGAAGGATCTTGCAAAAAAAATTGAGAAGGGTAGCCTTTTCTTTAACAGGCTTTGTCTCACCGGTGCTCATTATAAAAAATCTCCAATTCAATGTTTTCAGTGTCTCGAAGTTGGTCATACTGCACAGTTTTGTAAAAATACTCCTCTTTGTAAACATTGTGGCGATTCGCATAATTCTATTGAGTGCGAAGCTGATATTAGTAATAACAATTGTGTAAAATGTATTCAGTATGAGAAAAAAAATAATCCTTCTTTTGTTGCCGATGTTGATAATGTTCGTTTCAATCATTCGCCTATGAGTCTCAAATGTCCGCTCAAAACTAAGAATTTTCGCCGTAATATTATCAATCAATGAGTAGTTACAACCCTTTGTATCCTCACTCTTCTTCCCAAAAGTTTCATTCTGGTTCTTTATCACCTTCTTCCGACTCACATGATATTCCCTTCAAAATTCTACAACTCAACTGTCACAATTCCTTCGACGTTACGACCAACGCACTCAACTCCGAATCTCGCTTTTCAATCCTTGTCCTTCAAGAGCCCTGGATTAATCCTCACACGCTGAAGTTACCCCATTACGCAAGCTTGTCTTGTATTCTCAACTCCAATCACTCTCCTTCAAGTTACTCCGACAAACATCGTACATGTTTTTTCCTCGACAAATCTTTTTCTTCTGAAGACATTCACCTTGTTAAAGATGGTAATCGGATCCTATCGACAATTGACCTGTCCATCAACAACAACAGAGTCAGAAAATCTGTTTAATCAACCTTTACAATCCCCCAAGATCTTTTGAAGGAATTAAATGTCTTACCGATTGGCTGGACCAGCATAATGATCGTCGTATCCCTTCCTTTATTTTCATGGACTCGAATCTCCACCATTGTTCTTGGAATCCCCCTAACTATAGTCACTCTCATCAACAATCTAAAGATCTCATCAGAACCTGCGGTCGTCACGGTTTCAAAATTGTTTCAGAAAAAGGCAAACCAACCTTTATGAACAGAAGAACCAGCTCCACAGTTATCAACCTTGTCTGGGGAAATTCCTCTTGTTTTCAATTTATTGATTCGTGTTGTACTTCTTCCAATAATTTTGGGTCCAATCATCAAGCCATTGTTCTCAATCTTAATTTCAATCCTCATCCGATTCCTGTTACTAGACTTTCTGTTGATTTAAAGTGTGTAAATTCTGATCATTTTTGTTCTGACTTATCCAAATCTGTAGAAAAATTAACCTTTTTTCCTCTCAATTGTAGTTCCGATGTTGATAAATTTGTTGATGAGCTCACAATTTCCTTCCAAAACTCCATCAATCGCCAAAAAAAAACAGTCAACTCTAACAGCTCAAAATTCAAAGCCTGGTGGGATAAAGATATCCTTTCGCCAATCATTCAGAACCGAAATCGAGCCCAAAAATGGATGCTTATCGCGCGATCAGTTCAAGCTTCTGACTGTTATCACTTCTGGCAAAAGAAGTTCAAGGAGAAAGTATTCGACTTGAAACGGAATCACTGGCAAAAATTTTTGGCGGAAAGTAAAGATCATCATATCTTTAAGGCTTACAAGTTCACCAAACCTGTTAGCAGTGGTAATATTGCTCCTTTGCTGAATGAGAATGATGAACTTACCTCAGATAAGGGGGAACAAGCTCGCCTCCTTTTTAAAGGTACTTCGGAAGTTCCCATCAATTGTGATCTGGAGGATGTCATTCCTCCTATTTTTTCTACTCCCTTTTCCTTTCCTGATATCTCCGTTCCCGAAATCGACAACATCATTTCTAACCTTCCAAAAAAAAAGCGAGCGGTCATGACGATATTGCTAACGAAGTTCTTATTTGGAGTAAAAAGATTATCATACCTTTTCTTGTCAAACTTTTCTCAGCGTGTCTCTGTTTGGGGTATTTTCCTAAACAATGGAGACATGCAGTCACAGTCATTATTTGTAAAGCGGATAAAGATTCCTATGCTAATCCTGGCTCTTATCGGCCAATAGCATTATTATCATGTTTAGGGAAAATTTTTGAAAGCTTGTTGACAAAACGGATCACTTACTGGGCTGAAAATAACAATGTTATTGCTCATGGCCATTTTGGTGGTAGAGCTAACCGTTGTACTGATGATGCTAATCTTTTTCTATCCTCCTGGATCCGTCAAAAATGGAGGGAAAACAAGATCGTTTCAGCTCTTTTCCTTGATGTTAAATCAGCTTATCCTTCAGTTATTAAGGATCAGTTGATTGATACCTTAATTAAAAAAAATATCCCTTCTTACCTGGTTTCTATCATTCAATCTATTCTTTCAAATCGGACAACTTCCCTTTGCATGGATGGATTTTTATCCCCTTCTTTTAACCTCAGTTGCGGCCTTCCTCAAGGTTCTCCCCTTTCGCCGATTCTATATATCATTTATAATTCTTCCCTTCTCATTAGTAACCCTCTTAATCTTCAACAAAACAAGCTTTCCTTAGGTTTCATTGATGACGTTACTCACTTTGTTGCTGAAAAACGCCTCGACCATGCCATCTCATCACTTGAAAGTGAAGGAGATCGCTCCTTGGAGTGGGGAAAAAGAAACAATGCTATTTTTGATAAGAAAAAAGCAAAGTTCATGATTTTTACCCATAAAAAAGTCAGTATTCGACCATTCAGTTTTGGCGACATTTGCATGGACAAATCGGATTCTGTCAAATACCTCGGCATCATTCTGGACCCTCATCTTTTGTTTAAGCTTCATCTGAACAAGGTCAAAAAATGCGGTATCAGTTCAATCGGTCAACTTAACAGGATTTCTCGGTGTTCTTTTGGTTTGGGCTTACAACAGTCCAAGAACCTGATTATTAGTGTACTTCGTGCCAGAATTTTGTATGGCAGTTCAATTTGGGCTTCTAAACGTAATGAGTCGGCAGTCAAAAATGTTATTAGTAAAATAAATAATCAAGCTAATAGAGTTATTCTTGGTGTTTTCAGAACAACTCCTTGTAAATTTCTTGATCGGGACTCACCTCTTATCCCTTTTTTTGATGTGTTAAAGATGAAGAATCATTTGTACATATGTAAAAAATTAACAGCCAACGACGATCATCCGATTAAACAACTTGTCAAACACAAAATCAACAACTCACCACGATCTCATCTCTCCTCAATCCACAATTTGTTCGACAATCACCTCCTTTCAGATTACGACCTTCAAGCTCTTGAAATCATCAATTTTCTTGTCATTCCGCCTTGGTCAAATTTTGCCCTTGATGTTGTAAACCTTAACATCCAAAAAGAAAAAGCCAAAAGTATTGTTACTAATCAGATATTTGATAAAAAAGATAAAAATGAGACTCTCCTTTTTTCGGATGGTTCCAACATTCCTGATATAGGTTCAGCTTCAGCGGCTCTTCTCAATAATTCGATCTCCTTTGCTTGTAGAATCAATGACGCGGATAAAGCTTCGGCTTTTGAAGCAGAGGTTCAAGCAATCAACATCGGTCTGAATATTATCAAAAATGAATTTCAAAGAAACACTCTACCTTCTTCCAACATTATCAACATCTTTTCCAACAACCAGGCCACCCTTCAAGTTATCGCTAAACCGCCTCGATCAACATCCAATCAAGCTGTTTTTATCCAAATTTTTGACAAATTGAACTATTTGATTTCAGTCCATCAAGCTTCGATTTCTCTTCTTTGGTTTCCGGCGCATGTCGGTATCCCGGAAAATGAAAAAGTGGATCAACTCGCTAAGGAAGCAACGAAGGGAAATCGACAATTCGACCTCGAGCAACAACCCAGATCACTTTCAAACATTCAACAAATCATCAGATCAAATTTCAGTTTCAACAAACGAAAACTTCCTATCACCCGGAATCAAATTTCTTTATCCAACATACCTATCAAGATCTTTAAATCTCTTAATCATCTCGAGCGTGGTCTTTCCTCGATTATTTATCAACTTTGATCGGGCCACTCTCCTCTCAACAATTTCCTTTTTCATATCAACAAAATCGATTCGCCAAATTGTATTCATTGTCGATCTCCGGAAACGGTCAAGCATTTTCTAATTCAATGTAGAAGATTCGATCGCCAGCGAAAAGTATTCAGATCAAGATTAATCGCAAAGAAAATCAAAATCAATCCTAATTCGCTGAAAGACTTACTCGACAATCCTTTGGTATTCAAACTTCTTTCGGAATTCATCCTTGACACCAAATGATTCAAAAATATCAAGAACTATATGGAAGGCGAATAAAAAAAAAAATCATCATTATCAGTTTTGCAGGTTTTCTTTTATTTTTTATTTTTCATCTATCTTTTTCTTCTGTGATTTCATTTCTTTTTCTCTTTAAAAAAAAAAAAGAATTATTTTACTCACACGCTATTTTTCACAACCATTGTATTTCGGCAGGGTAATCGGGCTGGATCCTAAATTTAGGTCGAGTTCGGTCATCTTTCTGCCCGCTTTAATCCAGGGTATGAGGCTTGAGCAACCTCATAACACGCTGTCTGGGCCGCAGTCGTGACGAAAGATGGTCGGACTCGGCTTTATATGAGGGGTTTTAGTCTCGATAAAAGAGACGGATTTTTTTCATGATTTTTCTTTTTTGGGCGCGGCTTTTTCTCTTTTTTCTTCTCTTTCATCAAAAGTTATTTTTATAAAAACACTCAAGGTTATAAATATTTTTCAAAATATTCTTCCATGTATTTCCTTTTTCAAAACGTCATCGTACGTATATAGACACTAGTATTCACTATGGTGCGCAATGTCAAATCAATAAGCACTAAAAAAAAAAAAAAAAAAAAAAAAAATCCAGGGTCGGTTTTTGCCGTCCGCAACTGTACATCTCTGAAATATATTTTCCCCTGGGGGAATTTTCTTCATCTTCATCTCATTTTTAGAATTCACGGTTTAACAACCAAGAGGGCTCCAGGGCCTGAATTAGGTAGGTTTTTTTTTTTGATTCACTCATCCATGTGTCTGTCAAGATGTACTTCCATGGAAGGATGCTAAACGTGTGTCTGGGGACTGTCTGACCACAGATTACCAGAACAACGACGGTCGGTACCGATGCCACCTCTGTCCGCAGGCGACTGGGACGAAGAACTGGCGCAGACACTGTACGTCGGTTACCCACAAGCGCAATGTGCAACGTCGAGATGAGGCAAGACGCTTGAGTCAGCCAGTGGTCAATGAATCCGTCACCCATCAGGGGGCCCCCAGGCCGGCCGAGGTCAATGATCATCACAACCAAGAGGACCACATCGGGCAGACAGATCGGAAGTTGTTCGCTAACCGTTAACCGTTGTCCTACTTGAGGATACCGGGCCATCTGACTTGTCTGGCCAACTTGCTGCGTTGTCTCATCCCATGGCCGACCAAGAAGTACATAAATATGTAGAGGGCCAAGACGGTGTATCTGCTTTGCTCGATCGGACCAGCCGTCATCAACGAGACCCTTAAAAAATGAGCATCCATACCAGAATCAAGGAATAACACTGGAACAGTGAAGAAAAAGACAAGTTTCCAGGATCATGCAGAGTTGTCCCTCTAAGAACATCTTCGGCACGGAGATTGTATTTCAGGTAGAGCTATGCCCTCGATTAGATAACCACTTGGGGGAGGGCCGTAGGACTTTCCGGTATCAATCATCTAATCTATGGACCGTCAATATATTATGAATTGTTTTGAATACATAGCGAACTTCTTGCCTGTTTTGATTGTAACTTGATTTTAACTCGCATTCTTCGTTTATTGTGAGGAGAGGAGGTTGGATTTTGGCTGATTGAGATGAGGGAGGGAAAGAAAGATGGATGATTGCATCAATTTATGAATGTGAAACAAAGTGCATTTGTATATAAGAGGCTGGTCGACTATAAATAAAATCAATTTCTCGGTTGGTGTTTCTTTGATAACGAAAAAGACGATTCGAAGTATGGGTTTCGATTTTGATTACAAAGAGAGCTTGAACGATTTGATAGACCAAGCGAATATGGTGATAAGTACAGAATACAAGAGCAAAAGAAAGAAAGCGAGAGTAGGGTCGAGATAGATAGAATGAACAGAAAGATTGATGAGTCCTGTGAGAAGATTAGCCTGTAAAAAAAAATGTCAAAAAAAAAAAATTCATGCGCGGATTCATGGGAGAGAGAGAGAGAGAGAGAAAGAGAGAAGGGTGGGAAGACTGACGAAGAGGAAAATAGCGAGACTGTTTTGATTAATGAATTGGAAAATCAACGGGATGTTTTTTGTTGAGTTTTGGGAACGCTCGAGTGGTTTGGAAGATGGATGATCGGGGCGGAAGAGGACGTCATGGATGAATGAATGGCCGGTGATCAGTGAGAGATTAAGTGCGGCGATCCAAAAGCAATAAGTCGGATTAGCCTGATCATCGAAACATAAAGATGAGATGAAAGAAGAAAAAAAAAATGAAGAATGAGTGAGTGATAGTGCTAGTGCTCAAGAGAGAACAAGAGAAAAAAAAAGGAAATGATTGACTTACAAGTCTCCTCGATGGAGGAAAGCCGAAGAGGTTACAAAGGAAGAATAAGCTCCACCAAATGATCGCCCAACTAGAGTAGACCACCAACGCCTTTCCAGGTTGCCGACTGACGAGCTTGTCTGGTCGATTCTGTCGATCTCGAAGGACTCGATCCAAGAAGTCCGGCGAAGGGGGTAAGATGTATGTACCTGCAGAAAGCCCGAGGACATAGATCACCATGTATCCTATACGCACATCCATCCAGAGCCTTCAGTCAGCGGTGGCACTTTTTGGGGGGAAATTCTAGGGCAAGGATTCTTACCTGGAATACTCGCTAGTCCTTCTCGGTTCGCTGAGATCAAACTCGTCCGTTCTCGCGATGAAAGCACATACTCTTGTATCCCAACTACACTGAGAAGAGATTGATGACCTATAACCACAATCACGAGAAAAAAATTAAGACATTTTAGGTTTGAAAGAAGTGAACAGGGATTATTCGAGAATCCTTACATATGGCTAGTAAGAGTCCAATTAAGGCTAAATTGATCCGAAATCTTTCGTAGAAACGTTTGGTTAATACTCCGGTTAGAGGGAGGATAGATAAAGTAAAGAAGAAGTTCCAATGGACGCCGTATTCAGTCACATGTTCCTAAACAAACCAAACCAATCAATAAATTAATCAATCAAATAACAGAGGGGGGAAGGAAGGGAGAAGAAGAAGACTGACAGGATAATCGACGCCTTTGACGAAGATGATCCGGATGAGACCCAACAGGAACAGCGGAACAGTTTTGCGAGTGCTTCTCCAAAGCTCGCTCAAGATCGGTTGTTGAGGGAGGTTTGTGGAGCAGAGAGAGGAAGAGACTCGTTTGAGGATCGGAAGGGCCGAGATGATGCCCAATGAAAACACAAATGAACCAACACCTGAATCCATCTACAAGAATCCCTAAACACCAACCCATCCAAAAAAGCAACTTGAACATGCTTCTCCTTCTCCTCTTCCCTTCTCCTTACTTCTTTTTTTTGTGGGTTATTTCTGTTCTTATTTTACTTTGTTTGGAAAAAAAAAAAGGGAAGAGGCTCACGAGAGAGATACCCCAAGATTCAGTCTTAGCGAATTTACGAGGGAAGATAGTGAAGTCGACGGCCAAGATGGAGATCGAAGTGAGGAGGACAAGTTGGGCGCGATAGATAGTGAGAAAGGGCTGATGCGAGAAACGAAGAACGGCGGGGATTTGGGGAGTTGAGGAGGAGGAAGATGGGTCGGGGACTGGGAAGCCGGTGAGAAGGACTTGATGATCAGACTCGATGAGTCGGCGTCTGAGGCTAGTATTTTGGCTGTCCCCGTCGAGCGGAGTATGATGAGGATGATGCTCGGTGAGAAGTGGATGTTCTGACTGGTCATTAGACGATATAATTGCACTCGGCGTCGCTCCAGGGCCTCTTCTCTCCTCCTTCCTAGTCTCCCTCCTCATCCGCGACCCTATCAGAGCAGCCAGAGCTAGACAAAGATTGCTCGTCCACAGCCATTCGCTGAGGATCGTGGTGATCGCCAGTAAGGGGACCACTAAGCTCGTAAGCTCGGTCATCATTCTTCGGAAAGTGGTTCCGTCTGGTCTCTTTTCGACGTGGTTATTATTCAGTGATCGATGGAGCAGATGGGTGAGCTGTGCACAACATAGCAGATGTCAGTTCTCTTCCTTCTTTTCGTCCTGAGTGATGATTTGACTATCAGAGAATGGAGACTTGCCAAAAGACTGGCCAAGATGGCTACGATATCCGAGCCTGAACAACCCCCTCCATTGGACACGAAACCTTCCTTCTCCTCCTTGTAACTCGTCATCTTGCTGGTTTCCCGCGTCTCTCTTCGGTTTCTCAGCTATGTTCGTTTTTTTGTTTCTTCTGAATGCCGCTTCGGAAGTTTTACTCGAGCCGGTGGTCGTCCTGGAGGATTGACGATATCAAACTTCCATCATCATTTGAAAAATCTTTAGTGCCGGCGTTGCCCCCCCCGGGGCAAGGAGGGGCGACCGGGGACGCACTCAAACGTCTGACCCCCCCCCCCGCAGCGTCGGGTCCGGGGTAGGACCCTCGCGCCCAGCGCCAGTGTTACACAGCGCAATCCTCCCAGGACTTGTGTTGAGTTACCCACCCCCCAGGCGTGCAGGGAACTAAACCTGAGAATACTGTAACTGATGTCTCATTAACATTGAGGTTCCCAATAATTGAAAGTGGTTTTACTTTGTCTTCTTGTTAAGCATTAAAAAACAATCACACCAAAAGACAGGGAAACTAATGATTTCATCCACATTTAAGTCTGCCCATGTGGCAGAAAATTTAAACTGAATTTCTGGGTCATTGATTTATTTTTTAATGTGAAAATGAATGATGCTTGTAGTTGCTAAGAATTTCTAGTAAGAAGGTGAATCCTGGTGAGTCAAGAAAGATTAAAACTTTGGGATTTTTAAAAATTGTTTAGGAATCATTTGACAGTCTTAACACCAAAAATTCAATAACAAGGCAACCGATACATGTACTACTTGAATTAGGTATTGATCTTCACCTTAAGTTATGTGATTTGTTGCAGACTAGCCATCTTGGGCAAAGTTTCACTAGACTTTATATCATCTCTGTATGGTGTATCAAGCCACGCTAGGCACAATCCCAGGTACCACTTGGCCAAGCTCCACCAGGGCTTGGCAGTGTGCCCAGGGGGCTTGATTGGCCAGGTTGGGTGGGGCTTGGATCTTGGCACATAGCCAAGCCCCAAGCGCTTGGCCAATCAGATCATTGACCACCAATCTCACTTCCTCACACATCAACACACAAAGAAGGTGAGTCTTTCCTTTTCTTTCTCATCATTCAATATTTTTCTTTGGATTTTGGACTGTCATTTTAAACACTTATTTTTTCCGGATTTCCAACTTGGCTTGATGGACTCAACAGAACTCTATTCTCATTCTTATTCTTATCATTTTTAGTTATTTTTATAGTTAAAATCTTATTCTATCCCCCCCCAGCATGAATTCTGGGAGTATCAGGTGAATGAAATGGCACCACAAATTTTAGTGTGCATAGCACCCTCTCTTGGGCTTGGCCAAGCAAGGCTTTGTCCTGACCCCTGCCAACTTTGGCATGTGCCAAGCGGGGGTTGGGAGGGAGCGCTTTTGGATTGGCCAAGCAGGCTTGGGGATTGGCCCAGAGCGCTTGTCCTTTTTTGGCCAAACTTTGGTGTGTGCCTAGAAGGGATTGATACACCATATAATTTTGACAGCATGGTGTGAGACTGTTTTTGGAACTCATAATGATCAATGATTCAAAATGAGCACATATATCAGTCCATGGATCAGATGGATGGCTTATTTCAAGATGAAAAAGACAGCAAATTAATGAGATGTATTCCATTGTCCCTTCAGACAAAAACTTCTGGTCAGAAAATGCATATGCAACAACAAAAAGGCATGTGAGAACAAGGAAAGAGACATTGGGTGAGTGAGAAGTTCAGCTATATGCAGATGGAAAAGAGACATTGATCTTATTGTTAGTGGAGTAGAGGTGTTTCCGTGAGATAGCTCTATTGAGAGAAAAAAAATCTTATTGTCTATGTGAGTACAAATGAGTGGGGAAGAGTAATCATGTTCAAAAGTTGATCTTGCTTCTGGCCAAGAAGGCCATTGGCAAATAAGAAGATTGTGATGGAACCACATCAAGTTGATCTAAGTGAGGATTTATTCCTCTGATCAAGCTGGTCACCTTTCATTTTCATGACAAATTATCATGCGGCTAGAGCGCAATCAGTACAAGCTATAAGTGATTTCAAAAAGGTGTATCAGTTGGGGAGCTCCTGACTATATTTAAAAACTACAAAAAGGACTCACTTGCCCTCCGGAGATTAAAACTATCATCAAATGAGTAAGGACATCTGTACCAATGCCTATCAAACCTATCTTGGGCATCTACATAAACCCAAGTTAAAATCACCATCAGCTTACCAAAAAAGACTTCCATCAAATCAATCATCACCAAGACTTACCAACATAAGTAGTAGTAGCGTCGTTCCCAATGTGATACTGTAATGGGGATACACTAGCTTTGATCTGGATGGGGTTTTGTAGCCCTTGAGATTTGTCATTGTTGATGTAATAATTGCAATTTGAGAAAACAAAGCCGTCCCCTGATATCAAAGCAATACAACCCCGTT